CCACACAATTCTTTATTTAGTTCTTGTCCCTGAGGCAGAGGCGTAGCGAGGGGGGGGGGGGGCGGGGGGACATATGTCCCCGGGCGCCGACCTTAAGGGGGCGCCAAATTGAAAGTTTGAGGGGGGGGGGGTGCAAATGAAAAGTTCGAAGGGGGGGTGCAAATCGAAAGTTTGAGGGGGATGCAAATGAAAAGTTCGAGGGGGGGCGCAAATCGAAAGTTTGTCCTCGGGCGCCGGGAGGGGTCGCTACGCCTCTGCCCTGAGGCCATCCACCTCTAATCTCTCCCTGAGTCCACCAGGGTACCTGGATAGTAAAGGCGACTGAACACAATGTTGGCTAGCCTAGTTCTTGATATGAACTCTACTTCATCTTTCCAACGAACCGTCCGGTATTTAAAAAAAGCGCACAAAATAATAGAATCATTACTGATAAGAAACTTGCGTACCTCGCGTTTAGAACAAGAGAATTTTCCCTTAGCCAGTCCCACGCGAATTCTCGAGCCACGGAGTTGAGTGCGAGACAAGTAAAAATGTGAAACATGGAGGTGCTTGTTACAGATAAATCGTCTTTTAAATTTTCCAGAAATCTGAAATGATTTTAATCAACAGCCATAAAGCAACACAAAAAAATATTTAATTAATTAATTAATTAACAATTAGCAATGAATAGTCAATACTTTTTCTGTTCACGTTTTTTATTTATTTTTTATATTCATTTTTTTTCCTTTAATCATTTTATTGGAAATAAAATAAATATATATTTAAGAAATGACTACTCTATAGCCAAAAAGAAAACTAATTTTTAACTGAATATTTCTGATAAAATGTTTTTACTAATTCCTAGGTCTTCAGAAAAAAAAATATTTCCTACAATAAATAAAAGTATAACACTTTGATTTACGAAACAATCACCTAAAAATAAGATCTGGCTCCCGAACACTGGATAAAGCCGACTCGAACATTTCCTGTTCTTCAGTAGTGGCCGCCATCTTGTATTTGCTCCATACTATCTCCCACAATTCATCACTGGGGGAGTTCGCCATACCGCATTCAGCAACAATGGCTTGCATATCAACCGACATTCTGAAATGTGGGTTGAAATCGAAGACTTCAGTTTTATAGCTTTTAGCGAATTACGATTTTAAACAAATGATTCTGCCGCACGTTACCGATTGTTCTCATATTAACATCAATCCTGCTAAATCTATAGGATTTGAAATGTAAAACTTATAAGTCTTGAAATGCTAGACATAAAAAAGTCTTTAAATATAACCTATATGTTTTAAAATGTAAGACTAATAAGTTTTGAAATGTAAGACATAGAAAAAGTCTTGAAATGAAAGACTTATAAGTCTTGAAATGTACCGTATAAGTTTTTAAATGTAAAACAGTTAAGTCTTGCACGTAATTTGGAAAAAAAGAATGAACATAAATTAAATGGAAAAGTTTCAAACGTTTCGTTCTCGTAGATCCAGGCTAGAAACTGGCCAGATAAATTGTTGACTGTAGCCTCGTGGCCAATCTGACAAGCCGCACGCAGTAACTTAATCCGGAGGCGTCTGATGTTTGAAAATATAAAGAAAAATATGTCTTTATATAAAGGATATTTACTAAAATTAGAGGATTTGAGGATTTATTTTTACACGAGAGAGAGAAATGATGCAATGGCAGGAGTGGATAAGGGTGAATGGAGGGAAGGGGCGGGAAGAGAAAGTGAAACTTCTAATTAAAAGAAAGTAATGCATTTCAGCACTCAGATTTACATTCTACTTGGAGTCACCCCACTCAATACCTTGGTATAAAACAATATTTACAGTAGAAATCTGAAAGGCGCCGATTAAAATGCAACTGTTCCATAGCGGTATGTAGGAGTTCTACAAAAATAACTTATATGGCAAAAAAAAAATGTTCACCTGTCATTCATGGAACCCACGTCATTGAAGCTGAGCCGGTCTATGACTGGATTTATCAGGTAATTCAGATATCTCTGCATACGATATATATATATATATATATATATATATATATATATATATATATATATATATATATATATATATATATATATATATATATATATCACGTGAAATTATTTTCTAATAAACGCCCTATTTTTTTGTGAGTTCTTATCAATGGTACTACTATACTATAATGTGAGGAAAATCTTGCAAATATTCATTTAAATACACGTCCATATTTCCCCATGTTTAGAAAAATATTCTCACTCTCCGCAGTCTAAAGTCCGTACACAGCTAAACAAAACTCCTCAGTTGGATCTGTGATTAGATCATCACAGCCAAAATCTTTACTGCTAAAAATCTCCCAAATCTGAAACCTCTCTCCCCCCAGAGCAATAAACCTCCATACAACAAAATTAAAAAAACAAAACAATCTGACCTCCACACCAAAAGCTTACTTCACACAGCCACAACCCCCCCCCCCTAAACTTAATTCACACAGCCACAACCCCCCCCCCTAAACTTAATTCACACAGCCACAACCCCCCCCCTAAACTTACTTCACACAGCCACAACCCCCCCCCTAAACTTACTTCACACAGCCACAACCCCCCCCCCCTAAACTTACTTCACACAGCCACAACCCCCCCCCCCTAAACTTACTTCACACAGCCACAACCCCCCCCCCCTAAACTTACTTCACACAGCCACAACCCCTCCCCCCCTAAACTTACTTCACACAGCCACAACCCCCCCCCCCTAAACTTACTTCACACAGCCACAACCCCCCCTAAACTTACTTCACACAGCCACAACCCCCCCTAAACTTACTTCACACAGCCACAACCCCCCCCCCCCTACACTTACTTCACACAGCCACAACCCCCCCCCCTAAACTTACTTCACACAGCCACAACCCCCCCCCCTAAACTTACTTCACGCAGCCACAACCCCCCCTAAACTTACTTCACATAGCCACAACCCCCCCCCCCTAAACTTACTTCACACAGCCACAACCCCCCCCCTAAACTTACTTCACACAGCCACAACCCCCCCCCCTAAACTTACTTCACACAGCCACAACCCCCCCCCCCTAAACTTACTTCACATAGCCACAACCCCCCCCCCTAAACTTACTTCACACAGCCACAACCCCCCCCCCTAAACTTACTTCACACAGCCACAACCCCCCCCCCCCCTAAACTTACTTCACACAGCCACAACCCCCCCTAAACTTACTTCACACAGCCACAACCCCCCCCCCCCTAAACTTACTTCACACAGCCACAACCCCCCCCCCCCTAAACTTACTTCACACAGCCACACCCCCCCCTAAACTTCTTCACACAGCCACAACCCTCCCCCCCCTAAATCTGACCTTCCACAGCCACAACCCCCCTCCTCCCCCCCCCTAAATCTGACCTTCCACAGCCACAACCCCCTCCCCCCCCCCCTAAATCTGACCTTCCACAGCCAGTAGTCCGGATCTGTACTGAGCAGGGTGCTGATGGCCTGGAGGCCACCTGAGATGGCCACAACCCAGGGCAGGCTGACCCGTTCTTTACGCAGGTACCGTGTCATGGCCAGGGCATTCTCGTATGACGTCATGTTGTTGTCCGCGAGGAGAAAGACGTCATTGAGTAGACCTGCTCTGTCCATAGCGGGTAGTGTCCACTTCTGTCATAGAAAGGGAGGGTGGGGTAACTGCTTGCAGAAATATTATCTAACTACACAAAGGATGGGGTAACTGCTTGCAGATATATTATCGAACTACACAAAGGATGGGGTAACTGCTTGCAGAAATATTATCTAACTACACAAAGAAAGATGTTTATAAATATGGCCACATAAAACGATAAAAATATCACCGTGTATGACGTGTGTACAATATAACGTGTATGACGTGAGTATAACCCGCCGCTTCCCCACACCGTGTATGACGTGTGTACCACGTGACCCACGTACCGTGTATGACGTGTGTACCACGTACCGTGTATGACGTGTGTACCACGTGACCCACGTACCGTGTATGACGTGTGTACCACGTGACCCACGTACCGTGTATGACGTGTGTAGCACGTGACCCACGTACCGTGTATGACGTGTGTACCACGTGACCCACGTACCGTGTATGACGTGTGTACCACGTGACCCACGTGCCGTGTATGACGTGTGACCCACGTACCGTGTATGACGTGTGTACCACGTACCGTGTATGACGTGTGTAGCAGGTAGTTAGAAAAATTTCTCCACATCCCATCTGGGTACAAGACGATGTAAAAGCCGGTCTGGCCGTGGTTAAACTTCACCCAGCTGGCCTGGTTCAAATCCAAGGTTTCACTAAAATTTACTGTGGACATTAGAAAAACCCAAGTGTGATATTTGTTACACCATGGAGTCAAATCATCAGTCAGACAGGCAACTCTATTCATTCAGTGGGGGACGGGCTATATTAGTGTCTTGAGGAGACAGCTATTGTATTTTTAATGTTCGTGTTTATTCAAGTTGTATAGATCTGAATGTCAAAGACATGAAGACATTGGAGTGTTTCACCTGGTGCTGTGAAAAGTGTTGCTTACAGACATCACATCGAGGGTATCACTTGCTCAAGCAAGCCTCATTCCCATCCCCCTTCCCCCCCTCCCACACACACACACCCGAGGACGAAATAGAAAAAAGATATGTAATTTAACTGCCCTCTCTCGGAAATTCAATCCCGCCCTCCCACATTACTGGAGCAAAATGTGTGAAAGAAACCCTCTGTAACGACTCACGTGACTTTCCCTCCATGGTTCGAGTCCCCGTGACACCAGCAGACGTCAGGTAGTCTAAAGACAGGAACCACACCTGTCTGGAAACAGTCATCACAACATTTGTTATTTTGGTTTTAGAAATGGGACTTCACAGTAGGCGTCGCTATCCATAACTTTGTACAGCATAATACTAGTGGGGGGAGTGTGTATACTTTGGTGTCGATGTTCTAATTGTGAATGTATAAGGGTTGAAGGGTTAAAAATTTTAATGTACTGTTGCAATTTAAAAAAATTTCTAAAGTTCAATGATCATGGAATAACTCGGTTATTATCGTTAACATTTACGTTTTTCGTGTGAGGGATAGGGAGTGTATTTTAGGTTTTAATAACTATGTATTATGATACAGGGAGGGGTAATATTCGAAGGGGTATTATTGAGTAAGGTTGCGGTTTATACATAGGGACCTCTCACTAAAATACATTTTTTAAAACATTATTTTAGTCTTGGAAAAGTCAAATTTAAAACATTCGTAGAAATAGTTGCCATTGTGACAAAATTGTAAATTACTTTGAGCGCGACGTAAAAAAATCGACAGCTTTTTTGACGGATTTAATGAAGATCTTCTGGGTGGCGGTGATGGATGTGGTAGTAGACTCCTGGATGCTGATGTTGATGTAAGGGAAACCACTGTGCCTAGTCCAGGTATGGATGAGTTGTTGGACCTGATCCGTAGCGTTTGCCTGAAATTTGAATTTGACTCGACATTTGTTTCTGGAATTAATACTGTTTTTTTTTTAATTTATGTTTAATTTGGTGTTTGTGATGGGTATCAGTAGAATTTGGATGCTATGTTTTTTTTTATTTCTCCATCACTGTTAGCATCAATAGTAGGATTAGAGTTACTCTCAGGGTTAAAGTTTTTTTTTTAAATCTAAAAAAAACAACTGCTGCCCTGTAGCTTGTTCTTGGTTGGACAAAGGCTATGGAAGCACATACAGAAAGAAAAGCAGGCTGAAATCGGAGTCAATGGCCTATATGGCGCATAACAAGTGTACACGTAATACTTAATTGTATTAGAGGAAATCCACTCCAATGTTAAAGTTAAGAACGAAGAAGAAGAAGAAAAAAGAAATGTACATTTAAACCTATTTTTTTTCTCACTCTAAGACTTCAGAAAAAAAACAACTTATGTCACTTTTGTCTCTGTCACTCTCAGTGTCCTGTTGCACTTAAGCTCCACTTAATCCTCAATTTGTCACCTCCTCTGACTTAATGTAAATCCTCCTCTTTTGTTAACAACAAAGATCACCTCACCCCAACGAAACATTTACCACCTTACCTTAATAGAAGATTTACCTATTTACCTCAATAAAAGATTTAATTACTTTACCACAATAAAAGATTTACCACTTCATCCCAATGAAACATTTCCACCTTACCTCAATAAATGATTTACCTCTTTACCTTAATAAAAGATTTACCTCTTTCCTTATTAAAGATTTATTACTTTACCTCAATAAAATATTTACCACCTTACCTCAATAAAATATTTACCACTTTATCTCAATAAATATTTACCACTTTACCTCAATAAAAGATTGACAAAGATCTTCAGTCCGTGTGTTGCCCCATGCATGTTTGCCTAAATAACGCTGTAGATGGAAATCAAGTTGTAGATTGAGATAAAGTTGCAAAATGAAATCAAGTTGTAGAATAAAATCAAATTGTAGAATGAAATCAAATTGTAGAATGAAATCAAATTGTAGAATGAAATCAATTTGTGGAATTAAATCAAGTTGAAGAATTAAATCAGGTTGCTGTCAAACCTAAGGCCCAAACATAAAGCACAACATAAACAGATCATCATGACACCACATTGCTTGTCATTTATTTTGTGTGAAGTAAAGAATAATACATAGTAACTGACATTTATAACCGACTTTTAACCAAAATTTAAATGACCTTAACTAAATTTACCTGACCTCTAACTTACCTTTAACGGACATTTAACTGACCTTTAACCCAGCAAAAAATTGATCATCTCCAATGTATGACCTCAACATTCTAATCACATGCAGGCCCTAGTGTGAGAATTTGATTCAGAAAAAAAATATTGCAGTAAACAAATCTTACAATAATATTTTAATAACAATCCTAACCAAAAACATCTCACGGGAACAGATCTTAAAGCCGGTCTGGCTATATCAAAACTGTCAACTACAAATGTAACAATAACAGACCGTTATTTTTTTAAAAAATATATCAAATACTGGCTATTTCCTTTAAATCATTGGCCATCTCATTAGTAATTAATTAAATGTTAATCACCTTGGTATACGTGATCTTATTAAACATGACGTCTGCTTCTTCGCATGACGTCACGTTTTGGATGATGGGACGTGTGGTTAAATCGCTGTCTCTTTTTAATAAGGCAAAATAATCGTCTTCGTACATTCGGGACTCCTGTAAACAAACCAAGGTGTAAATGTGAAGTTCGTAAGTTGGTCCATCAGAAATTTTAAAAAGCAAGACATTTAAAACGTAATCATAATTAAATACAATTTCACATTGCGGTATTAGCGAACTCACCAAATCCCAACATCTCCACCAACAACTTACCAAAGCCCAACATCTACACCAACAACTCACCAAATCCCAACATCTACACCAACAACTCACCAAATCACAACATCTACACCAACAACTCACCAAATCCCAACATCTACACCAACAACTCACCAAATCCCCACAACATCTTCCCCAAGAACTCACCAAATCCCAACAACATCTAGCAACTCACCAAATCACAACAACATCTAGCAACTCACCAAATCCCAGTCTGACCACATGCCCTCTAGGCCTGGCAGCTCCAAGTAGGATGCGAATCCTTCATTCAGCCAGAGCTCATCCCACCAGTCCATGGTCACCAGGTTCCCAAACCACTGAAACAACCACATCTTAGAGGTTCCCAAACCACTGAAACAACCACATCTTAGAGGTTCCCAAACCACTAAAACAACCACATCTTAGAGGTTCCTAAACCACTGAATCAATCACATCTTAGACCAGAGGTTACCAAACCCCTGAAACAACCATATCTTAGAGGTTCCCAAACCACTGAAAAAACCATATCTTAGAGGTTCCCAAACCACTGAAACAACCACATCTTAGAGGTTCCCAAACCACTGAAAAAACCATATCTTAGAGGTTCCCAAACCACTGAAAAAACCACATCTTAGAGGTTCCCAAACCACTGACACAACCACATCTTAGAGGTTCCCAAACCACTGAAACAACCACATCACGGTGGGCCACTTCAAGGACCTACAACCTACCAGGTGGGCCAGCTCATGGATCTACAACCTACCAGTGGGCCAGCTCATGGATCTACAACCTACCTGGTGGGCCAGTTCATGGATCTACAACCTACCTGGTGGGCAGTTCGTGGACCTACAACCTACCTGGTGGGCAGTTCGTGGACCTACAACCTACCTGGTGGGCCAGTTCATGGATCTACAACCTACCTGGTGGGCAGTTCGTGGACCTACAACCTACCTGGTGGGCAGTTCGTGGACCTACAACCTACCTGGTGGGCAGTTCATGGATCTACAACCTACCTGGTGGGCAGTTCGTGGACCTACAACCTACCTGGTGGGCAGTTCATGGATCTACAACCTACCTGGTGGGCAGTTCGTGGACCTACAACCTACCTGGTGGGCAGTTCGTGGACCTACAACCTACCTGGTGGGCCACCTCATGGACCTACAACTAACCTGGTGGGCCACAGCATGGACCTACAACCTACCTGGTGGGCCACAGCATGGACCTCCAACCTACCTGGTGGACCACAGCATGGACCTCCAACCTACCTGGTGGGCCACCTCATGGACCTACAACCTACCTGGTGGGCCACCTCATGGACCTACAACCTACCTGGTGGGCCACCTCATGGACCTACAACCTACCTGGTGGGCCACCTCATGGACCTACAACCTACCTGGTGGGCCACCTCATGGACCTACAACCTACCTGGTGGGCCAGCTCATGGACCTACAACCTACCTGGTGGGCCACCTCATGGACCTACAACCTACCTGGTGGGCCACCTCATGGACCACCGTCGTGACCATGTCGTACAGATGGTCCATCGTGTGCTGGTCCCTGGAGTAGAGGATCATGTTCCCAGGGAACGTGATCAGACCCCAGTGTTCCATGGCCGTGACGGGGGAACCGGGAACGTCGACCACATCTGGAATTGTCATCACTAC